CTACTCCTGTAAAGATTTACACCCTCGGAAACCCTGTACAGGGTCGCTATGGGTCGGAACCGACTCGACGGCACTTAACAACAACAACAACCTACAAGTTAAGTGGTTTAAACCCACCAGCCACCGCATGGCAAACAGATGAAGCCGTCTGTTCTCCTAAAGACTGACAGCCTTGGACAGCCAAAGGGACAGTACTACTCTGTCCAATAGGGTTGCTGTGAGCTGGACTCAACTTGACAGCAGTGAGTTAGTAGATACGATCATGGTGAAATTTATTCTCCTTGACAGTGATTCTCCACATCTCAAAGCATCAATGAGAATGAAAAGGTTCCATGACTCTAAGAATAACTTCAACTTCAGCATCAGTGACATTTGGAATAACATCTTAATCTCCTCTGTTATCTACACCTGGTACACTGTTACTTCTACTTTGTGCTGGAACACAATCAGACACTTTGTAAAACTTTGTTTTCCTTTTCCCTCTAGATACACACACAGTATGCATTGGGACCTCAGTTGGCTATATCTATATTTTCACTACCCTACTCCCTGAGACCTGACTTAATACTCTATCAATTTATTAGAACTATCCAATGCTTTCAAGAAGGCAGCAGTGGTTCTTTGGTAACATTCTTGACTTCCATTCATTCAGGAGGCCAATGTGCCTCATACGCACAGCCGCAACCAGCCTGTTAGTGGACGCAGGTGTGCTGTTAGGATGCTGAGCAGGCTTCAGCAGAGCTTCCAGACTAGGATGGACTGAGAAGACAGAAGCCCTGTGACTCAGTGGCCCAAAGTGCAAACCAGTCATGGGCATGCTACAGGACTGGGAGAGGCTTCTTCCATTGTGCATGGGTTCATAATGAATAGGGGGACAACTTGATAGAAGCTGGCATCAACAACAATAATACTTCTACACTTTATCTGAAATACCCAGAAACCCTGCCCCAAAGTCACTATCAATAGAGAAGTGGCTGCAAATAAGAGTCCCTACCATTTTAAAGATGCACTACATAAGATGTTAAGTCAATTAAGTAAAGATATGAAGTACAAGGAGTCTTGGTGTAGCACCCTAGGATAAGCAATCAACCTCAAGGTCAGGTTGAACCTCAAGGTCAGTGGTTCAAACCCACCAGCTGCTCCTTGGAAACCCTAGGCAGGGTTGCTATGAGTTGGAACCCACTCCATGGCACTTAACAACAACAAAGGAAGTGTAGGATTATAAGGTTTTTTATAAAAAGAAAGAAAAGAATAAGAGGAGTACCTAAAAATGTGTTTGCTATAATTTCCAATTTTGACTCCCCACTGCCTACAACACACACACACACACACTTATCCTTGGGGATGCAAATGTCTAGGACTAGGCGATTTTTCTTCCTATTTCTGTTTCCTTAATGTACTATGCTTGTCACATATTTTCTTTCACAATCAACAAGATAAAAAACAACTATACTTCAAAAACAGAATAGTCTCAAATTAGAAATTATGTAAAAATGAGTAAGAAAATCATACTCAAATCATTTGCACAACCAACACAAAATGGAACTGAAGGGTGTGTCTGTGTTTAACTTAGGTTTAAATTAGGACTTGACTCTATTTTATTTTAAAAAACGGAGTCCTGGTGTGGTGCTGTGGATTAATGCGCCAGACTGCAAAGCCATTTGAACTGCACGATCGGCGGTTCAAGCTCACCAGCTGCTCCTCAGAAACCCTATATAGGGTCACTATGGGTTGGAATCAACTGGACCAGCACTTAACAACAACAACATTCTAAAAAAGGATTTGAAGCAAAACCAGATATAATTAAAACCTTTGCTTATTTTGATAAGAAACATGACAATAAGGAATTATTTGATAATTGTCTATGAGATTGAAGTCATGTAATGTGAGATCTAACCTATAGTGACAGTGAGCTCGAACACAGAGTTTCCATTCTCGGTGGGAAACCCACCACTCTTCTTTCCATTCTCCAAAGACTTTCTTCAGTATCCTCTGCTCGTGGTAAAATCTAGGGCAAGGAGAGAAAAATCAGAGAGATGTCCTTGAAAATGCTGGAGCTGACCCCTATTCCCAAACCACAGCTTATGCCCTCAAGTAAAGGCCTTTGAGCTACTTACATCAGAAATGAGGTTATTAAAAAGTTACATGAGAATGTCACCCTGGTGAAGTGCTGAGGAAGTGTTCTGGCACAGATAATCTTCCAAGATTGAAAGTATTTTTTGTTTTTATTGAGACTTTGGTGAACACATACTTCCAATGTACTACTACAATTGTTCTGAAAGGGTGGCATTGTAAGAAAAGCACTGGACTGATAACCACAGAATCAGCACCCACCACCCACTCCTTGGTTAAGTAGCAACTGGGATCCCAAAAGCTTATAAGTAGTCATCTGATGTGCAACTATTGGTCTCTTCCTATCTGGAACAAAGAATAGTGGGAAAATTCAAAGATGTATGGAAACAATTAGTCCAATGTACTAACAAACCACTTAAAACTGTCTCCATGACCCTGAAACCAGAAGAACTAGATGGTGTGGGTTACTACTACCAACTGCTCTGAAAAGGATCTCTCTCATTAGAAAGTCCTGGATAGAGTGAGACAACCTCGAAATCATAAAAAGGGCTAGGCATACTGGTCAGATAGAGACCAGTGGAACCCCTGAGGCTATGGCCCTTGGTCACCCTTCAGGTCTGGAAATGAACTCATTCCATGGCTCTATTTTCAGCCAAGCAATAGATAAGAATATAAGGGGAACAAGAACAAGGAATTTGTGAGGCACCATCAAATGGGATGCAGTGTAGTGATTATCCTACAGAGCCACTGTGCTCCTCAAAACTACACCCAGGTCATTAAAAGATCACTTGAAAAAAAAAAGACCAAAATGGACGTCAAAAGACTCTGAAACTTGCTCTTGAACATAAAGAAGCTTAAGCAATTGGAAGAAATGAGGAAGCAAAAGTTGAACAGAAAATTTCAAAGGGCAGCTTGCAAAGATGAAGCAAAGTATTAGAATGAAATGTACAAAGACCTGAAGTTAGAAAACCGAAAGTGAAGAACATGGTCAGCATTTCTCAAGATGAAAGAATTGATGAAAAAAATCTGTGTTAGAAGAAATTCAGCCAGAAGGCTCCTTACAAGCAAGAATGGCAAGACCACGTCTCTCATTTTCAGACATGTTCTCAGGAGAGATCAGTCCCTGAAGGAGGACATAATGCTTGATAAAGTGGAGGGTCAACGAAAAAGAAGACACACCCCTGCCACCAATAAGATGGATTGGTATTGTGCCAGCAAGAATGGGCTCAAACGTAACAATTGTGAGGATGGTGTAGGACTGGGCAATATTTCATTATGTTGTATATAGGGTTGCTATCAGCTGGAACTGATTTGATGGCCGCTTAACAACAAGAAGAATTTACTTCATATTAAAACTTCTGAAAATCCAGGCAAAGACTAAATCTTCAAAAAAGCAATAATGAGATTAACAACTTACAAATGTATGCCATTTAGATAATGCAGTATCTTCAAAATACTGGGGAAAAAAACTAACAACTGGATTTCTATACCCAGTGGAAACAGACTTCAAAAATGAAAGTGAGAGCACAAACAAGATGGTGGATCGGGTGGAAGTGCAGTAAAGAGCTCTACCAGCAACAACACAGAATACACAAACAAACAGGCTCAGGGGATGGTCCCAGAACTCTGAACCACATATAAAGGAATATTTAGAAGGTTGGAAGGCTTACAGCTGGGGGAATTTGTGGCAGAAGCAAGAATCCATTGCTTTCTAGTCTGGGACGCTTCAGCTGCTCCAGGAGCCACCATCTTGGGTGACACCAAGCGGGGGAAGATTGGAGCGGCCACAGATGCCTGGCAGAACCACAGAGATAAAGGTGTGGATATTCTTTTCTTTTGGTAGCTGTTGACTGGTCCCTTGCTGTCTGAGCACCTCCATTCTGGTGACTATATGGGTGCCTGAGCTAGTGGGCACCCAGCCCCACCCTCGGAGGGTTCTACTACTATACATACGCACAGATCTCCTTGAAATTTAAAGAGACAGTTTCCAATTAAAACCAAACGGCCACAGCCGGCCCTGAACTGTTTACAACTAGAAAAAAGGCCTAAACGGGGATTGTGGAGCAGGAGAAGCAAACAAAAAGGAATTAAGCCGAAAATTAAATCCTAACTTATGTCAAAACAACCAACTGTGGTATCTTGAAAGTTCTCAAGAAGAGTGAAAAGGGAAGCCCATTTCCTGATCACATCTACCTGGAGGTAATCAGGTAGAATACCAAAAAACCAAAATACATACCCATCTAAGTATTAACGCCAAAGATAACACCTGAATATGCCAAAAAACAGAAGCAGATGACCATATCTGCACATGTCCAGAAATGAGATAAAGTGACTGAGGCAAATGAGCTGGAAGTAGACCTACACTCCATACTGGAAGATGGGCAGGCTTTGGAAATGCCAGAGAAGGAATTCAGAAAAATTACTATAAAATGTATCAAAACACTATACAATAAAATAAGGCGGAAGTCAGAAAAGCACTACAGGAACAATCAAATAAGATAGATACGGCATTGGAAACAATTCAAAACCTACAGAAAGAGGTCCAAACGATTAATAATAGAATTATCAGAAATGGGCAATAAACTGAAAGGGCAAAGGAGTAGAATTGAAGAGATAGAGAAGCCAGAACTAGTGAGATAGAAGATAAATCTCTCAACTCTACTAAGACAGAAGGACAAACACAAAAAAGGATAAAAAAATCTGAGGAAGGCCTAAGATTCATGTTGGATAACATGAAGAAGAATAACATAGGAATTATTGGCATTCCAGAACAGGAACAATCACACAAGTCCACACAGGAGATAGTTGAAGAGATTCTGGAAGAAAATTTTCTTAACATCCTGAAAAGTGAAAAGATAAGCATTCAAGAAGCTCAACGAACCCTAGGATGGACAGACCCTAAAAGACAATCACCAAGACATATAATAATCAAGCTCTCCAAAATCAAAGATAAAGACAGCATCTTGAAAGCAGCTAGGGAAAAGAGAAATATA